CTTTACCTGGTCCAGTCATTCATCCAATCCCACCCTCTCAAAGCTTGACCGATTCCTAATTTCTATAGATTGGGATTCTACTTTTCCTGAGACCCACTCTTTGGCTCTCCCTAAAGCCACCTCCGACCACTGTCCCTTACTTTTGGACTCCAAACCGGCAGAGTCTTGACCTAAACCCTTCAAGTTCGAATTGGCTTGGTTAGAAGAACTGTCACTCCTTAACCTATTTCCAGAATGGTGGACCTCTCTCTCGAAAATGGTTGATGGCGGGGCTGGCTTCAAACTTGAATGCAAGTTGCAATTATTGAAGCCTCACCATAAATCCTGGACTAGGGGTCTATCAGGGTTTTTAGGACCACAGAAATCAGCTTCTCTAAAAGCCATACAAACTCTAGACTCGCTAGAAGAATCCAGACTCCTCTCGGTCCCGGAATCATACTTAGAGATGAACTGAAGCTTCAATGCCAAGCCATCTTAAAGAAAGAGGAAATCTTCTCGTATCAGAGATCCGGGATTAAGTGGCGTAAGGCCGGGGGCCTCAACACTGAATTCTTCCATAAGACTGCCAAATGCAGGTGCAGAGACAATACAATCACATACCTTCCGGTAGCTAAAAACCTTCTAGACCAACCTCCCGATATTGAGCAAGCCATCCTTGGGCCATTTCCAAAATCTCTTCTCTGCCCCCCTGTCTCTCGCCCTTCCATGGCGGACGTCGACTTCCTTGTTCTACCTCCAGATAAAGCAATCTGGTTAGAGAGACCTTTCTCATAACCTGAAATCTTAGCTGCCATTTCTGACTTAGGCTCTGACAGGGCCCCTGGACCTGATGGCTACCCTCTTGCACCGTTCAAACTCTTTTGGGTATCTTTTAGAGAGGACTTCCTCAAACTGTTTGAGGAGTTCTACTCAAGGGGTATCATCAATAGGGCCTTGCATGCCACTTTCATCACACTCATTCCCAAAGTTGAAGGGCCAACCCAACTGAAAGATTTCCGTCTCATAAGCTTGGTGAACTCCACCTACAAAATCCTAGCCAAAGTTCTCACCTCTCGCCTTAAAGATTCTGCCTTTAGTCATTTCGACTTCCCAAAGTGCTTTCATCAAGGATCAACAAATCCTAGATGGGGCCCTAGTGGCTCGTGAATGTATTCATTCAAAACATCTGGCCAAAGCCCCTGGAATTGTAGTTAAGTTGGATTGGGAGAAGGCTTAGGACCATGTAGACTGGGATGTCCTTGAAGAATCTCAGTCCAGGATGGGATTCGGTTCCAAATGGAGGGGATGGATGAGAGTGTGTTACTCACATCCTTATTTATCCATCCTCATTAATGGTACTCCCAAAGGATACTTCTCTTCTACTAGAGGCCTCAGACAGAGGGATCGCCTTTCCCCCTTTCTATTTGCCATTGCAGCTGAGGTCTTCAGCAAGTCAATATCCAGAATGTTTGTGGTCGGATGCTTGCATGGCTTCTTGGTGGGAAATTGGGCCCCCACCGTATCTCGCCTTAAGTATGCAGATGATACATTGGTGGTATTTTGCAATGCTACAACATAAGAGATACACCATCTTTTCCTGTTTCTCCGGTGCTTTGAATATGCAACCGGCTTTAAAGTCAACTTCGACAAAACCAAGATGATGGGGGTAAATGTTGACCCAACAACCCTATCCACCTTTTCCGAAAGATGGGGTTGCAAGGCCAAAGCTTTGCCATCCAAATACCTAGGACTGCCACTCTGCTTAGGCAAACCAAAATTGAGATTGTGGTCTCATATCATAGACAAAGTGGACCGTAGACTTGTAGGATGGAAGGGTCGCTTCCTTTCTTTGAGAGGAAGGTTAACTCTGATCAAAGCCACTCTAGCTGACATCCCGGTTACCATATGTCCTTATTCCGGATGCCTGTGGCAGTAAGCTCCATGATTGAACAATTAATGAGAAGGTTTTTCTGGTATGGTGACAGAGCCAACAACAAATTTCACTTACTTGCTTGGGACAAGCTTTGCCAATCTAGGCAAAGGGGAGGACTAGGGATCAAAAACCTTAGAACTCAGAATTTGGTCCTCCTTGGTAAGTGGTGTTGGCTCATGACGAACATGAGGAATCAACTGTGGATAGATATAGTCAAGCACAAATACCTTCCCAATACACCGTGGCTACCAAACTGTAGGACCAACCAAAGATCTTCAGGCATTTGGAGCTACCATAGCGGATGAAATGCTATCGGCAGGGTCCTCTCGCTCGTGGAACCCAGTATTCAGGAGAGCACTTAACGACCCAGAGATTGTGAGCTTCACAAACTTAGCGGTAGAACTACATGCCTGCTTCCTTTTACCCGCATGTCCTGATTGTATGATTTGGGCACCTGCACCCTCTGGCCTCTTCACTGTCTCCTCTTTCTATCGAAGCCTTTCTCTACCCCCCACTTTTCCTTTGGCACCTGTGGCCATTGCTGCTCAAGCCTGGGACACCTTCGCCTGGCGCCCCCCCCCCCCCCCAGCCACCAACCAAAATCCAGATATTCATGTGGCTAGCTCTCTCTCAGAGAGTCCTCACAGTAGATCAACTGCAAAGAAGCGATATTCCGATACCCAATCGATGCGTTATGTGCCAAGCAGTTGAGGAAACAAACAATCATCTACTGTTGCACTGTCCCTTTGCCTTCAATCTTTGGGGGGCAATCCTCAAGCTATTCAATGTTCAGTGGGTGCTACCGGCAGAGGTAACATCCATTCGTTCGCCCATCAAGCCCTATCCTTGGCCTAAGGCAGGGATACTGCTTTGGAACTCCTTGGTGGCAGCTACTCTATAGGCCCTATGGATCGAGCGCAACAACAAAACGTTCTTGGAACAAAGTTTTTGACAAGCTCAAGTCCACAATTACCTTCTGAGCAACCAACCATCGTTATTTCAAAGGAATTCCAGCATCGGCTTTCAGCCATGATTGGAGCGATGTCCTCCAAGTCCATAGAGTGCGTCTGACCAGGACCACTAGGTGGAAGCCCCCTATTATAGGAGAGCTCAAACTGAATTTCGATAGTTGCTCTATCGGGAACCTGGGTCCATCAGGTGTGGGAGCCATGCTTAGAGACCACCTCGGCTCTACAATGGCTACAGTTTCCAAACATATTGGCCATACCAACTCTATGGAAGCCGAAGCCCTTGCAGTTTTGGAAGGCTTAAAACTCATACAACCTTTCCACCTACACTCTTTAGTGGTGGAAGTTGACTCCAAGAATACCATTTCTTGGGCTCAGAGACTTTCTTGCTCACCCCCTCTTGGTTCCTAGCGCAAGTGTTTGACGAGATTCATCACCTTTGCAGGAATATGTTTGTTGTGTAGATGCATACATGGAGAGAAGGAAACTAGGAAGTTGATGCGCATGCCAAAGAAACAGCAACAATGGCGGACAACTGACATTTTTTGGGTTTGCAACTTTTTTTTATTGTTTTATTTTTTGATCCTCGGATTGACCTATTTTATTAGGTTGCTACCCAGTTGTAACCTCCTAAAAAGGACTCAATCCTGCCTTTTATTTTGTTTTCCCTTGAGCATCCTTTTCTGTGGATTGCCAAGGTCTCTTGTACTCTTCTTTCCTCTCTATCAATTTAATGTTAACATTATCAAAGAAAAAAAGATCTCATCTTAGGGATTCCTTTACTTTGTTGAAACAATATATAAAAATACATAGAGACTGTGTTGGTGTGTGCTTCTAATATAACATAACCCAACACAGTCTCTATGTAACTTTTACATGCACACATCATAAGAGGTTGTGTGGCATATACATTGTCTCTATGTGTTTTTACATGCACACAACATAAGAGGTTATGTGGCACATATATACAGTCTCCATGGATTTTTTACATGCACCTAGCATAAGAGGTTATGTGGCATATAACATAGTCGCTACACCATAACCCAGACACTACTAGGTTTTGTATCACTTATGACATCTTATTATTTGTGAAATTTGATCCGAGTATGTGGCATTGCCTCATGCCACTGGCATAAAATTTCACATGTACATATGGATTTTCACTCCATGTTTGAATTTCTTGATAATGGGCCTAAAAGTTTATGTTTTTGAACAAAGAGACATGGATATGGATTTAGCAATTATCATGAACCATAGATTTCCTTGTCATTTGATTGCTTTGGCATGTAAATAGCAACATGTTATTACTGGCTGCGGTTCATGTGATATTTTCCAATGTTTGAAGGTGGTAAGGAAATTTTATTTGGGAAAGTAATTTGGTGATACACATTTTTTGCTTAGTTCTGACTTAGTTTCTGTTATCGAGCTGCTGACTCAAATTGTGACTTCACTATTTTTAGTTGAAATGTAACTTTGTGGAGTTAACTAGTCTACTATATGTGGTATTGGCTTGGAGTTTATATGAGTAATTATTGAACTAGAAATATATTCAGTAAAACCAAAGTAGCATGGGTTTTGGAGAATTTAGTAAAACCAAGGTAGCATGGATATTGGGAAAAAATTATAATTTGGCATCAACTTTGCAAGAAAATTGTAAAAACTTAGCTTCACACTCTCAACTCATTTACTAAACCAATCCCAATGGTGATTCTATCATACATGCCCATAGTTTTTGAATTGGGAGCAGGATCTAGAGCTGGTTTGGGATGGGGAGCGGAGGATTGTGAAAGTCTAGAAGATCCATATGGATTTGTGTTCATTTTCCTTTGTTTAGAGATTTGTAAAATAATATCAATTGCTGGGGATTTGCATTCATTTTCATTTGCTTAGCAATTTGTAAAATAATATCAATTGCTGGAGCAATACTTCTTCTTTGTGTCTGTTGTAGCATTTTGTCTTTTTAGAGGTTTGGGAGCTTAGTGTCAATAGGTTAACATTTCATATTTATGAGCTCATGTGTTTGAAGTAATGGCCATGCTTGTTTCTTGTCTCTTGCCATTTCGATCATTTTATGTGTAATAGTTTTGTGAGACATATTCTAATTATTATACCAATTATAGGTTTTGCGCTTAGTTCGGTTGAAGGTCGTGTGGCTATGGAGTTCTTTGATTTATCTGATGCTGGTCAAGCAAAGAAGTGAGTTCTTTTACTTCATTAATGCTAAACAAGAATTACATTATTTTTGTGAAAGACCTAGAAAGGTATTTATGCATTCATAGTTATTTCTCACAATACTAAATCATGGCTATTTAATCCAAAGCAAGTGAACAACATGTGCATGGTTAATTTTCCACAAAAGTTGTTGGATCAAATAACATGCTAGAATGTGCATTGCTATTAGATCGTGTTCTTTTCATTATGCAAATGTTCTGTTGATAAAATTACAGGATCCGGTTTCTATGAAACTGATTTCGTGGTCTAGCTACTACATTCTTGGACTTATAAACCATTGGATGTTGAAATGGGTGATCCAATCAAGATATTGAAATTTAGATGGTCCATGAGTGATATTTGGGAGAGTGGACAAGGTGGAGACTTTGATGTGGCTCCAAATCCATTTATTTTCTAGATCAATGATTTTGGAGATCAAGTGGATGGATTTGCAGAGTTTTGGGTGGTCAATCTGTCTCTGAGATGGGGTTTTGGAACATGATTGTAATCATGTGAACTACAACATCATCGTCAAAGCTTTTTTTCAATTAATTGAGATCGGCTACACGAATCCTAGTCTGCCATTCTGTTCTATTAAGGGCCATACCCTTAGTGAGGCCATAAATCCCCATATCTTTTTTTACTACTTCCAACCATGTCATTTTGGGCCTATCCTTGCCATTTTTGAGCCTTCCACTTGAACTAACTCGCACCTCCTAACAAGTGCTATACTGGGTTTGTGCCATGCATGGCCAGCCCACCTAAGTCTACTCTCTCTCATATTATCACCTATTAGTGCCACGCCTAAATTTTTCTAAATGTATTCACATTTTGAATTCTATCCCTTCTTGTCTTGCCACTCATCCATCTCAACATCCTCATCTCCGCTACACTCATTCTATGGGTATATTGTTTTTTGACCACCCAACATTCTGGCCCATAGAGTACAGCTGGTCTCATATTTGTCTTATAGAACTTGCCTTTAGCTTTATTGGTATGCGGCGATCACATAAAATTCTGGTTGCACATCTCCACTTCGCCCACCTAACTCTAGTTCTATGTGTGATATCTTCCCCAATCTCTCCATTTTCTTGGATTATCGACCCAAGATATCGAAAGTACGTTTGTTTTGGTATTTCTTGGATGTCAATCTTAACTACTTCTTCATCTCTACTCCTATTATTACAAAACTTGCATTCCATATACTCTTCTTAGTCCCGCTAATTTTAAAACCTTTAGATTATAGAGCATCCCTCGAAAGTTCTAACTTTGTGTTGACGCTATTTTGGGTCTCATCGATCAAAATTACGTCATCTGCAAACAACATGCACCATGGTACTTCACCTTGTAAGTGCCTAATTAAGTCGTCCATGACTAAGACAAAAACATATGGGCCCCTAATGTAGACCAATTGTCATTAAAAACTTACTCGTCTCTCCATTAGTTGTTCCTATACTAGTTAGCACTCCAAATCAAATCTCAAGATACTCTATTATCGATTTTCTATAGGTCAATAAAGACTAAATAGAGGTCTTTTCCCTTTGCCCTAAACTTATCAATTAGTTACCTAAGTAGAAAAATAGCTTCGGTTGTTGACCACCGTAGCATAAAACCAAATTGGTTTTCTGATACACTCGTTTCATACCTTCGTCATTGCTCAATCACTCTCTCCCTGAGCTTCGTAGTGTAATCATATGAACTACAACTTGTATCTAAAAAGTTTATTAGGGGTTTGACATAATTCCAAAGAGGGTGATACATGGCCATGTCCATACCATAAAAACAAATTGCACATGGTAAATGTTTGACTAAAACCTAGGTTGTATAAGAACATAATTGCCCGAATATGTGGTTGTGTGGGAGACGCTACTTCTATCCCTCCTCAACTAGTGGTTGTGATGATTTAATGGTTTTAGGGTAACTGTGATCAGCTTGATGTTGCAGAGAGGGATGCACATTAAGGATCTTGTCCGGCTTCTTTATCCATAAGCTAAGTCTACAACAATCAAGGCATCCATTTCAATCCCATGCCTCTCTCTACAAGACAACCACCAACTTTTCAATCCTTATTACTAGCTTTGTCTCCAATCTTTTTGACATTGGAAATTTGAATCAGGAGCATTTTTTATGTTAGCGAATATCTAGAAGAATAGTTCAGTTTCTTCACTCTTTTATGGCCTTGTTTCTTTGTATTTCATAGTCTTGCTACATTTCTTTAGGATCCATGGTTTTGAACTTTATCACTTGTCTTCTAATAGATTCAAATTTGGACAATACAATCTTGGCCATACGTCGTAAAAATCCAACATGTGCAAAAACAATGACATTTACTCTAAAAGACTACTGGGAAGAAAGCTACCCCTAGAACTGAGCAAACTCTTCAGTCTGTGCTCTACACATAGCAAAGGACCACATCTTTAACAAAAACCAGCACAGCAGCATTTGCCCACATTTTTTATACTAGTCTCATACTCCTTGATACGCCTTGATATTGATTCGACAAATCCTATGTTAAAAACTTTTTTTTTGGGTAAGTAAAAGGGGTAAGTCAGTGGGGAAATTGCATACATGTTCTAGACCTGCTAAATGTTCCTCTTCTTGTCTGTAGGTTGCTGATTTATGTATAGTATCGCAAAACTTACAGTTATCTTCCAGCAAGCTAGGCCTTTCTTAGTTCTTTCTATAACTAGGATCTGTTTTCTTAACAAATTTAGTTAAACAAAGTTCATGTACAAGTATGTGTATTCTCTCTGAGTCACTTCCCTTCACTCAAGTTCGTATACACTCCATGTGCAAAGATGAGCTATATACAACAGATTCTACCAAAACTACTTCAGAACAAAGTTACCACCATATCGGATTCTCCTCTTGCTAAACTATCAGCTTCCTCATTAGATACTCTTCAAACATGGCTAAAAATCACCTAAAGTTCGCAGAAGGTCCCAGATTTCTTCAAATGTGTTATGTGGCTGCCACAGGCATTCCTCGTTGCTTCTGGCCCAAACAATAAGTTCCTTTAGTCTCCCTCAATAACTACCTTATTCAACCTTTTGTCCATGCATCTCAGCCAAAAAGCAAAGACTTAGCTTCTGCTGCATTGGAACCACAGCTTTGGAGGGGCCCTTACATGGGACAACAGAATCTTCCCCTTATGGTCCCTCACACATTTCTGCCAAAGTTTAAATTGACCATGCTGGAGGTGGTTTTGGTTGGGATGGTTTTTTTTTTTTGAGGGGGGTTTAGGTGGCTCCACATGGTTTAGGGCCAGTTCAGATGCATGATTTAAAAATTCTCATAAAAAAAAAAAACCTTTACAATCTCGTTCATGTTGAATTTTAAAATCTTGCTATTTTATTTTACTGTCTACATACTGTTTGGTTGTGTAGAAAGAGAGAAAAAGAAGTTTATCTCTATCTTTCTCTCTCTAAAACTCGGGGCCAGCTCTCCCCCTTCTCTCTCTAAAATCAAGAGTCAAGCTCTCTCCTCTCTCTCTGAAGATAAAATAAGGTAGAGTGGTCTGCCAATGTCAATCTTGCCTTCAGGCAATGCAATAGAGACCTTCAGCCCAGTGTTAATCTTGCCTTCTGGCAATGCAATAGAGACCTTCAGCTGGGAACAAGGGGGGCATAATCAAACCTCTTCCCACCTATTGAGGAAAATGAGAAAAGCAAGAATTAAAAAATCCTAGTTTTCTGGTCTGGCTGGGAATAGATAACCGCAAGTCTGCTGTTAAACTCGAAGAAAGGAACCTCTAAGCTGCTTCTTTTTCTTTTTTTCCCCCAACACTCTTGCCGCTAATTATCTCAAAAAAAGAGGAACCTCAAAGCTTCTTTCTCTAGAAAGAAAAAGAGCATTAAACATTTATAAACAACACTTAGACCTGCTCGCTTAACTCAGAGAACCCCCTCCCCCCCCCCTAATTTCTGGTTTTGATTTGAGGCAAAACAAAATGCCACTAATTTCTGGTTTTGTTGAGGGGGAAGCAAAACGCCTAAAAACCTTTGCTTCACCAGTGGATACTTCAGTATAAACCAGCTTGGTGGTTTTGAGATCGAGAGCATGTGATAAAAATAAGAGGGAGATGGGGTGGGATTTTTGCGAGGAATGAAGGTCAATGATGAAAAAATTGGGGTTTGGCTTTGATGAGAGAGAGAGAGAGA